AATAAAATTCAACTTTTATGAATTTGTACACCATAACGTTTATGTGGCTTAATTGTGTGAGCACAAGTGTACATATGTATATCAATATCAATATACATTTAGTGAGCCTCGTGCTGTGATGAAGGTTCTAGTAGTTGAAATACAGTTGAAAGCTTCTCAGAAAATAATTAAAAAACTATTTCATATTTTTTTATTTTTATTTAACATTTTTATTTAACAAATTTGTATTGCTATTTATTTTATTCAACAACCATTTTTAAAAATCGAGAAAAAGGAAAGTTATTTTGAAGTATCGAGGCTTTTAGTACACACACACTGTTTTTGAATTGCCATCAGGGCATGTATTTTTTACAAGTGCATAAGTCGTTTATTGATTTGCGTTTAATGTCTACCATTTTCGGCCGAAGACATTTTAGAGGTAGAAATTTTGATTTAAATTAATACATTTACAAGCGAAATTTTGCCTGTCCTCAGATCGCCAGCATATGATTGATGAAAATAAATTTAGCTCTATTGTCAATATGCTTATCCGGTCAAACAGCTCAATTCTACTAAAAAAAAAACAAAAAAAAAAAAAAAAAAATTAGTTTTTGTCCAAACATCGGTTTTCTCGGTTTAACTATTTGGCCGATTTCATTGCCACAAAAGCTTTAGTCTTAAACTCATAAAAGACTCGGAACAATACTTAAAGAACTACTGCAAATATTCAAATATTTGATCCGATATAAATGAATCGAAGCGCTCTCTCTTCGTAAATTTAATTTACCCTATACAAATACTCATGATTTAAGCAGAGTTCGGCTTATGCTTTAACTAAGTATCAATAGGAATTTGACACGAATATGCTAAGTCGGTGCTTATGATGCCACATTACATATAGTATACTATATATACACATTGTAGGTGTATGTTTCTGCGACTGCCACTGTACAAATTCTCCGTTGCGCTGCTTGTTTAGCCCTACGATGCTAAACATTGTTGAGTTGTGGAGCTATTTGCACACGATATTGGCGGCCGCATTAGTGCATTTACGCAATATCGGTCGTGTAACCAACACATGCAACTCTGCCACAGTGTTTGCGCGTGTGTGAATGCGTGCGTACTTCATTCACTGATTGTCGCCATTTGCTTTGCGCTTCGATTTGCCATTTGCTTTATTTGCACTGCTATCTCTGCGATTGCACAATGCCTTCCTGCAAACGCTGCCTTTGTATTTGTTTTTAATTAGTTTTTTGTTTACATTTGGAAATTTAGTTTAATTAGCTTGCACTTTATTGTATCGATATTTGTCTTCGTTCGGAGTGTGTCATTGCCCCCAGTGGAGGCGCCTCCAGTGCTAGCTTTTATGTGTGGAATACAATGCTCGCGACAGACTGCAAACGACATCTGKCAAATATTAAAATACACACGTTCTTATGGACGGACCTATTTTGACAGCTGCACGACTACACGACTGCAGGCCGACAGTTGACGTTCTCGCTAACTTCAATTTAATCCTATATTTGCCAACGAAAGTAGGACGACAGTAGAGTTGACAGTAAAATGGAAGATAGAGAGATGAGGTAGAGTGGTGATGCCACTAATATGTTAAATTTAAAATTATTCACAGCTCTAACAAACCTGACGTTATTTTACAAATAAAAGCATAAAATAGCTCTGTTCCATCATTTATAATAACAATTGATAATTTAAAAAAAAAAAAAAAAAACAAATAAATTTACCTATTTACTTATTTTTGGCTTAAAAATTTCGCTTTGAACAAAATATTAAAATTTCATTGAAGTGCAAGGTACTAGTATGGCCACAACGAAATTGTGTACATGCAAAATGGACAACTGCCTTGTTTTGTGTACATGCCGGCCATTGTTATGTTGCTGCCCTCTCACAAATGTTCGTGTAGTCGGATTCACAACGCCATTTTCAGTTCACTGTCGTGCTGCTGCAGTCTGTCGCGAGCATTGTGTACCTCACATTACTCTATCAGCAGTCGTAGGTACATGTGTGGGTGTGAAAATCTCTGCGCGCCTGATTTTGCAACTATTTGTGGATGCCATTTGTGTGTATGTGTGAGGTTGTTGCCTTGTGACTTTGGTGCAACAGCGGGTAATCGCTGTCATTTGCTACCCATTAATGGACTTGAACGCAATTAAATGTGTTTATTTTTGTTGTGCAAACAAGTAACTTAAGACAATTAGAAATTGAAAGTCAATAAGTGCGAATTTCTATTTTCAAAACCTTTTACTTTCTTTGCTTGCAAATAAATTATAATCCTTTAACTTACCACATGACTTGCGTCAGCGACGCCGGATTTGCGACATATTCGCAGTTGAGCAGCACGGTGTCGCTGGTGTTTACCGTAATCTCGGGTGGGCTGACCTTAACCACTGGCGGATCTATATATAGAAAGTGTAGAAAAGAGCGAAAATGGTTTTATGTAACAATTGTTTGCTGTAACTTTTTTGTTGCTGTGATTTTGTAGTTTTCGTAGCGTGCAACTTACACAGCACTTCCAGCGTCAGCGAAGATGTGAATGGTTTTTCGCGGTTTAACTGCAGCACCACGTTGTCCGCATCGCACCGGAAAATCATGTCATTCTCGAAGCGTGTCGCGTTGAAGATAAGCTCCGACTGCGTGTGATACGTGCCGTCGTCCTTCTCGAACTGACGATCGCGTTATGAAAGGACGAATATATATGAAGTATAGTTATGAAATGCATGGAAAAGTTTAAAGTTACTACTCAGTGTATTTGTATGAGCATGAAGGTGGGTTAACTCAAAAAGTGCAGTTATAATAAATTTATTTCGGTATTTTTAGGAAGAAATTTCTAAAAACTTGTTATAGAAATTCATAATAGTTTTATTTAAATACTTGAATTCACTTACCGCCTTCGTTCTAATTTCGGTTAAATCGTTCTCTTCGGGACTTATGACCGTTGAGGAATTGAACCACGTCAAATTCACTGCTGGTCGAGCGCCATGAATCTGAAATTATTTAAAGTACGTGAAATTAAAAATTCAGTAATGAAATAATTAAAGGAACTGCTGAAATTAGAAAATTTGGCATTTGTACAAAATTTGACTAGTTTTAAACGTGAAAGTATTTTATCATATTTTGATTGAATATTTTATAATATAATTACTTTAATCCTCGCTGAACTTTTACCTTTCCAAATTTCATTTAATATGATAGGAAGAGGCAGAATACTTAACATATTTCCATAAATTAAAGATATAGAAATTATTAGCAGGTGACTGGAACAAGCGAAGCAACCATTCATAAGTAGTTTGCTAGCTTTAATACAGGTCACACGAGCACTAAGAGTAATGATAGACCTGCCAATCGGTGAAGAGTACCAAGTCGAACTAACCAACCAGTTTTCAACCGAATTGGTAGCACTCACGTTGTAAGGTTGGAATGTATTTCACTTCTTACTTTCATGGAAGAGTCCTTCTGTTTGCGATAAAACAGTTTCAAAGCCTACGCTTTTAAAAAAGCGCTATATCTCATATAAACTCTTAAGTTTTAATTACAATTAAAATTAGAAAAGAAGGGTTATGTTCGGATGTAACCGAATATTGTATAACCCCGCAACTTGCCAAGACCAAACCCTTATTAGAAAAACACGCTCCCTAAATTTTATTGAAATAATTCACGATTTTGCCGTTATATGAGGAATTTTCAACTGGAAGTTCGAAAATAATTCTACTAAGTACATACAAATATGGGGCTCGATAATTTAACGACCCGATTCAATCCATTTCTGATACATAAGTATAATTTCTATAATATAGCTTACAGACTGACCGATATATTCGTTAGAAAGTTCGCAATCGGAACTTTGATCCACATATTTGATCTTGAATATTTTTTTTCCGATTTGGACATTTTTTGGTCATAAGGTGATATATTCGTGCAATGGTTGAAGTCCAATTTCACTTTTTTTTTTTGAAAATTTCTTCGACACACTCCTCTTGCGTTAACTCAGATATAAAATTTAATGCCTTCGGACTATTTATTTATCGATTTAAGGCGCGTACGCACACGGATAGACGGACGGAGGGACAGAGAGACAGTTACTCAGATTTCAACTCGTCTCGTTATCCAGATCATTTATATATGCATAACCTTAGTTCTAACGACCTTTTTTTTTTTTGGTGATGCAAACAACCCTTAGGTGAAAAAACGATTATACTGTGTAGCAATATGTTGCAAGATTATCCACATTTTCCACCTCGTACAGCCCCTTAAATATAGCTAAAATCACATAACGTCGAACGTGTTATAAAATTTTTACTATCAGGGTTTTAGGAACCCAAAAGTAGTAAACAAACAACCACTAACATCACTGTCGCAAAATGACTGTGAGCTAGTGTGATTGGTTTCGGCATTTTTTCTACTGGTAGGTATGCTTTCAGTAAATCTATATATATGTAAATCTATCTATCTTTAAAATGGAAATCTTTTAAAGAACATTCATGTGTGAAATTTTACTGAACAAACTTACCAAAGTACGTCAGTTGCAACTATGGAGTATTTACATACTATAATTTACTGAGAATTTATGCACAAATTTCTTTTAGTAATTATCTAATAATTAAGTTCAAAGCTAAAGATAATTTGCCATTGTGCCATTGGCTGCAAATTGAATTTATTGCCATTGATTGAAAGTAAAATTAATTAACACAGTTTTCAACGCCAATACACACGCACACGATCATTTGCCTTTGACTTATGACGAAGAATAAAATTTTCCGTTACAGAAGCTGAGCTAAGAACAATAAACTATCAATTAAGCGCCTATTATGCACCGATCTAAATAACCGTATGAAGGCAAAATGCCACATGTGTACGCATGTGTGTATAATTGCTCGCTCGCTTCAGCAAACAACAGCTGTAACGGCACAATCGATGTAACGAATTATACAAAAAGCTATTAAAATTACAATAAAAAGCAATTTGCCGCATATAACTCGACAGGAGTGCCAGCGAACAATACACATTCATAGAGCAAATACCATTATACCGTTAGGTGTGTGTATTTGTGAGAGTGTTTGTGCGAAAGGATATATATATGAAAAAACTACATGTAGTAAGTGTTATGCATTATACTCTTGCAACATATTTCTACAGAGTATAATAGTTTCGTTCACTTAACGGTGAATCTTGATGAAACTTGGTAGACATGCTCCTTGGCACCAAAAGAATTTTGGTATTGTAGATAGGAGTAACCGGACTACTGCCACGCAAAAACGAAATTAAACGACGAAGTGATAAAACTAAGCCTTAAATTAAGATAAAGAGCTTATTTACACTCAGAATGGAAGATGGGACTTATATGAGTTAAAATTTGGCCGACGGTGATAATACCCCCCAAATTTAGTTAAAAATCCATATCTCGAGACCCTCTCTTCCGCTATTAACCAAATTCAGTAATTTGATATTTCTGCGTTACCAAAAACGGGGGAACTCGAACCACAACTACGCCTACTTCCCATAAATATCATCTGATCCTTCCAAATTCCAGTATACAAATACAGCACCAATTAATATAACAAAAGATTTCCAAATCGAACCGAAATGGTACCGAATATGCGGAGCCAGTGTCAATAGTTGTATTTTTACCAAAAATATCGGTCAATATGTGAGATATATAATAGAATTTTGGAAATAGTTCTTTCCAGATAATAGCAATTATTATTATGAGAAATGGGTTGAATCGAATCAATACCTCCCTGAGATGCCATATACCTGTAATAAAGGTTTTCGAACTTCCGGGTGATTTTATGCCGCGCATATCGGCCAATATGTGAATTATCTAAATGGAAGTGAAAACATTTTAATAATAACATTGTATCTTTCTGATTAAAATTCTTAAAATTGGGAGCAAACTTGATCTAGCCTCTATATAACTAATAATTAAATTTTCGAAAATTTGGTTGAATAATGAAACCCAAAGCGCTTTTAATTGATATGTGTCATTTTAATATTATTTGTTATTGGCTAAAATAATAATAATACCCAACGATTACCCTCCTCCCGCCCAACCGACACGAGGGGCGCAATCCGCGAAAGAGCGGAATTAGCCGAGTCATAATAGGCAAGGAAGTTTTAAGCGTTGCGATCTTAAGCTGCTCAGCTACAGAAACAAAAATTTCAACAGCCAAAACTAAGAATTAGATTAAAGTTTATAATTTTTAAATGTTACTTGTTAAGAGTAGATAAAATCGATTGTCGATGAGTGTAATTTTCGCTCTGATTATAATTCATTCAAGATTTCGTCGCACAATTAAGTTGACCCCTTGCGTTACATTTTTCAATACTGTATCCAACATTACACCTGAAGTTATTTAGCTGTTATCCCTGCAACTTTTAAGAAAACAAAATGCTCGGTTACCCCCGAACTTAGGTCATCCTTGCTTGTTAATTTGATGTATACGTACATAATTTTACGTGTCAATCCGATATACAGGGTGGTTCACGGAAAATTTCTTCTTACTGGGTTTGTTATTAAAAGTGTCAGTTTAGAAGTTCTCATCTAAATTCTCATCTAAAATCTTTTATATTTATTACGCAAGAACGTTTCTAAAATTGTTGGATTCCATTATTATTGTTCAGAATTCTTTTCTAAGCATTTCTCCCAATCTAATATCGTCTGTGTTTGGAAATTTTCACTTCCTATCTGTTATTTCTGTTATGTCCATATCTGTCTCATTGAGACTCTACAACGTCTTTATAACTTTATTCATTGTTTAAAAAAAAAAAACCGACATGAATAGTGTCGAAGAGACATGCAATATATTTAGTTAGTATAATTCCATTCTTAGAACCGATACTAAACTCTCATTTTGTGTTATTAACAAAAGTGTGATTGAATAAGTGTATCACTCGTATGATCTAATTGTACTACTAAACTGGAAAAAGAAGAAAAGGGAACTTCGATGCGGAATTCTTAAAGAAATTTTCAAATTATCAATGAAAAATTACTCAATACCACATTTTTCGGATAATATTTAACTTAAATATTAGCCATCTACCTTTAGACGCTACTCTGCTACAAAAAATGTCCTTCTAGGAGCAGCAATAAGAAAGCAAACGAGTTCGATAGAAGAATGTATATAGTTGCCTCATCAACACGGTATATGTATAAAGGCTTTTTTCATTTAGCAGATATAATATTAGATACATTTTGTGTATCGTGAATGAGTCCAATATGAAATAAGTGTCATACATGCCAATAATTTTTTTAAGTTAAATTAACACTCGATTTTGATTGTAAAACATAAGGCAGCGCCACTGCTATAAGAAGAATTTATACACAAAGAAAGATAACGCTTATGGAATTGAGCTTGAGGACAAGGTATAATGTGGTAATAGTAATTACTGTATGTTTGTTTATTTGGTATAGTTTTTTTGTTTACTAATTCATTTGTTCCACCCTTTAAACACTATTTAATATCGAATTTTCTGCTCAAAATTGGTAAGCGCTTGCAAAACGCCCCATTGTAACACGTTTAAACGTTACAAATCTATTAAAGCATAAAATTGTCGACCCGTAAACACACTGACATAAATACCTATACACAGATGCATACATATATCCTCGGTAATTCAACATACACTCTCACTCCGACATTTTCATTTATGCTTGTTAAAATTTTCATGAAGAAAAATCAAAGTAATAATTGACAGTTAATTATTGGCAATTACCCCACGGCATCGTGTGCTCTTGCACCATGTCCACACGTTCCATACGAGTATATGCAAATGTATAGTAGATAGTAGTTAGATCTAGCTAGTTGTCAACTTGCATGTAGGGAAGCCTTTATTGGAAAGGCTCAGGGTTATTGATTAAATAGTGCTTTATAACGTCAATAGTGGAGGCTAATTTACAATATCTGAGGCAATAGATGGAACATTTCTGTGAAGAAATGTGGAAAAGAATATGTGAGTGAATATCATATTTTAAAATGGAAAATAAAACTCTAAATACCTACATTTTGGGTATCAAAATAGTGACAATTTAGAAACATATAATTCTTAAAAGAAAGTAAAAAAAATTCTTTTTTAAATTACTAAGGAACTGAGATGAAAATCTTATAATGAGCAATTTGTAATTGATGTAGTTTTCGGCTAGTCTTAGTTTGTTTCATAAAACACAGCTGTTTGCGGAAAATTTTAAATAATACGGACAATTATAATTCGACGACAGGAGGGGTTAAATTTGCCGAAACTTTTGGATTACGTTCTTCTTTTCGGTCATCTATTAAAGCTTTGTTTTATCTTGTCTTTAAATTCAAATGTGAATGAGTTATCTTATTTGGTTATCTTATAACACATTACTTTACTTTTTAGTTATTTTGAAATGTGTTTTGAAATTTCTCGGATATAATAAAAGAAAAACTAAGTCTTCGGACATATGTATGTTTTGAAATTTCGTAGCCGTTACTATTACTTGTCGATGGTTAAGCTTCAAAATACTACATACATTTGTTATTATAGCATTCAAGTTAAAACATACTATTCTTGAGCCGAAGAGTTTTAAGAACATCTTATTTATAGGCGTGCATAGTACGCATATCTTAGAAGAAAATATTCAGTTCGATTGGATTTTAAGTGGTCACTCATAGACGTTGTCAGTGTCGATAATTCATTGAAAAAAAAGAGTTTATTGAAAATATTAACTTAAATTATTCAGAGTTTTGTTCTTTAAAAAATTTCTATTATAATTTTTATAAGAAAAAGTGAGAAAATATAGAAACTTAGGCTATTTGAGCTTAGTAATATTAAAACCACAACACTTACATCACATGTCAGCACCACTTTGCTGCCCTGCACCGTATGATGCTCCACACCATTGATGGATATGCTCGTCGGACGCACTGCAAATGACATAAAAAGAAAAAGTAAATAAATCAAAATCAATAAAAGGAATGAAGTAAGGTATTCTAAAATTGCGTTAGACAATAGTCAGCCAGGTGAAAAACGGCCAATTGCTCTACGTTGCAAGAAAAATTGATAAATAAATGGTCGGCATTGTTGGCAGTTATGCCATTGTGTCACCGTAAGCATTCGCCACGCCAACTTGACGCAAGCTTTTAACGCACAAATAACTTCTATTTTGTTTTTTGTTGCTTCAGTATTCTTTCTCTGCCTACATAATTAATAACAGCAATTTAGATGGCATCTAACTTTTAGCTACCCTTTTCAAATCGCTCCCGAAGCATGTGCGAATGGCGTGGAAGGACGGAGGGGAAAAGAAATGGCCTAAAGCATAGCATGGCATTCCTGTGGCAATTAGCCCACACACGCGCCCACAGTCATTTCCATTCAATTCCATACAATGAGAGAAGGCATCAATCAATTTTGCTGTCAGCTTAGTTTCATTTTTTATGTTTTGCTTTTTGCCTTTGTCCAATTACACTTAAGTATTTAATGCTATTGTTCCAACTTCCTCGCGCCATTTCTGAAACTTTTTTAAGGATACGGGCATATTTTTTTTGTTATAATTAAGTGGTTTTGCATATTGAAGTGTGCGCGAGTTTTATTTTTCGGCGACTAAAGTGTTTAATTAAGTGACGCCTCGGTCTCTTAAATGTGGCTTTCATTAATTTTCCTCTTACACTTACACACTTAAATATGATCTGTTATGTGTTTTATGTTAATATTTATTACGGAAATATGTTTCTATCAAAATATATCGTACTCATTAAGCTATGGTTCAAAAAAAATTTTACTTATTGCCTCTGACATACGGTATAGCAGTATACTATATGTATACACACAAATGTATGTGTATATATCTTCCTCTGTCTTTGGTTATTTCCATCATTATTTATTACTGTTTCCTTCTTTTTTAAGTATTGATGTGACATTTCTTCGGCTTAAAAAATCAAAACTCTCTACGAAAGGCTTAGTCTTGACCTTAACTAAATACTGCTTTAGATGATGTTTCACTTCAATCAAAATTTTGTTGACAGGTTGCGTAAGTTGGTGTGATATTTTTATAATGAATTTAATTAATTACTTTAATTTGGGTAGCGTGACCTTTTCAATTTGCAAATAAACTTGCGATCTCACATCAGATTATGCAATTTCCTTAAGTTTTACCTACATGCCACAATATTCATTAACAGTGTTGCAACTTTACGAAAATTTTAGACGTTTTTGAGTTAATAAATGTTACATTTTTTTCAAAGCAACAGTGCAACGAGTACTAAGAAATGTACACAAATTTTCCTAAATACTTCCTTTTCATTACTAATGGCAACCTATTTGTATGGTAAAAAAAAATTGAACATAGCAACACTCCTGATGAGTGCAATACATTTTCTGTAATTACCTTGTAAATCGACACGAAGCTTATTGATTAGCTTGTTTGGCAAAGCTGCAGACTCGACGCGACATTCAATATCTCTCGCCAGATCGTCACGTGACAACTCCAAATTCAATTCCAAAGTAGCAGTAAACAGGCCATCCGTCTCAACATAGGATGCGGAATCTGTGCAAAATAAAACAGAAATTTATATTAAAAGTATAATTAATTAAAATTAAAATTACATATATTTTTAACAAAATTGTTATACATATGTATGCACTCATTTGAAAAAACAAAACTGATCAGAGTAATTTTTATGTCATCTTAAGACATTTTTATTGACAAATTTTATTAATAGCACCTATACCGATCTTTATCATGACACCGAGATAAAGGTTGCATTTTAAATTCCAAACAGTTTTTGGGGTCTGAGATACTAGTTGATAAGCTATTAATGATATACATACATACATCAGTCATGAAATTTTCAACCATTTTTAATTGAAAACTAAATGAAGTGGAATTAATATTATGTCGGACATTCTGACGTGAGCATTTTTCGTTAGTTCTTCTTTATTATAAAACTTTCAGAGGAATTTTATAATAAAAAATAGTGATTATTTCAAACTATAAAGGCTGAAAAAGGAGTTCTTTCTCGATGATGCTGCTTCCTAAGCTGCTTGAAGGAAATTTAACTTATTTCTTTAACAATCTGAGAGGAAGTAAATTCGAAAAATATAAGAACTGGAGTTACATACATTGGCATACTAAATATCTTTTTTAAGAGATGTTAGTTATTATATAGGCTCAATGAGCGTTATTGCAAAAAATTACAAGATGAAACAGTCAGAAGGACAGTCCAACTTAAAGTTTCGTTTTATACTTCTTGAATGGTGTAACTGATTGTTTTGAAATATTGTATTTGTGTTCATTTAAAGTTCTGCTTACTTAGATCATAAAAAACTTGCGCTAATTTTTTAGAAATTGCACTGAAGAATGTTTTAAATATTTTAAAAGTTTTAGGCGCAAAATAAAACGTTGAGTTTAGTCCATAAGTTTTATACTTTACAAATAGTACGCTCCAAAAAAATCATAAAAATTTGACCTGCAATCAGGCCTTTTTGAACTCAAGTAACTTTTCTATTACACTTCTTTTGATTTCCACCTCTTGTAGCTGTCATCATTAACAGTTGAGTCAAAGTGATCTATACCAGACACCTTAACTACACCAACAACAATTAAGACGGAGGCATGAACGTATAAAAATGTAATTGAGCAAATCACTTAAAAGGTCGCACGTAGAAAAGGACGAATTTAGATAACGGTTAAAAAGTGAACGAAAAGAGATTATACTTTGTGAAAGTGTAAATAAATTTCTAAAATGCGCAGTATACTCCAAGTCGGATGAAATAAATTGAGTAAATGGCCAACAGAAGAAAAAAAAGAATATCTTTTAAGATTAATGTTGTTGGAAAAAATAAACCTCGCCGGAAATTATTAGCGAAATCAGAAACTTCACATAGCCATAAAAAGCGTTGGAGAATTAAAAAGCATCTCGTTTAATGCAAGAAATTGCACCAAGAAGTATGCTTAGGTGTACGCTCGAGTGGAATTTGCTTTGAATCGGGCTTCTTGCTTTTGCTGCGATACGCGTAAGTATTTTGCCCGGAATTCCGTTGAAGTAATGGCTTGTCTCTTTGGCGCATTAATTTTTGCTATAAGCATGTATACCTAACGCAAGAATCTGCTGAGTGTTGTAGGTGTATATGTATGTCCTGCTCTACGCCCGGTCAGGCGGTGACTAACGTGCTTTGCATTACACTTTTGTTCGGATTCTTTGCACCTTCCATTTAGAGCTTGTTTTTATTTTATTATCTTTGCTTACTGCTTAAAACAACCAATTAATTTGGTGGCACAATCATAGTTAAGAAGGTTACCAGCGGTGTGAAGAGGGCAAAAAGGACATCCAAGAAGAGTGAGCGCCATTTTTAAGCTACGCCAGCGAGTAAGCTGAGAAATTTAATGCAATTGCTTTTTTATGCATGGCAATAAAAAGATTTTATTAGCTACGGTCTCAGGGATTCTACAACAACACTCGGTTGTGCCAGTGTGTGTGTGAGCTTCTGGTGAACATTTTGTGCTTTTTAACGGGTGCTTTTTCGTAACTTGTGCGCACCACAGTTCATCCTTAAAAGAGGACTTAGTGTGATCCTTTCACACTCGCAAGGATTTTATTTCTTTTTTTTCTTCGTATCTCGCTGCATGTGTACCTCTATTGAGCGTTGTCTGATAAGACGCTGCTAAAATCCACAAATTTTTTATGCGTTCAACGCATTTTTTTCGTTTGCTAATAAATTTCACAGCAGACACGCATTCGTCTTGCTCGACTGAAGCCGCATCGTGCGGTGCAATAAGAAGAGTAGAATATGATACATTCAAAGTGTTAAGTCCGCCACCGAAGTTTTCTCGGCTTACGCTGGGCGTGTATGGTCGTAAATTTCTGTCGTGCGTGTTTCAGCAGGACTTTTGACTGAGATTAGCCTTAAGTGGCAGCTCAAGTGGTTGACCTGCACCAGCACATAAAAGGTGAAAAAAAAAAAAATTCACGCACACACCTACAAAAATAATATAAATGCTTAAATTTTACGCGAATCGATTTTTATTTTGAGCAGACTCACTCCAGTAGAACTGAGTTTACAACTAGTGAAAAATAAGTAATTGAGAGCATCTACAGGGAATGATGTCAACTTGGTTGCTATAAACTAAAATTCATTGGCAGCCCTGAACTTGATAACCCAAGAAAACACAAGATATAATATTACTTGCTAATAAAGAAAACATGGCTTCCTGCCTGAAGGTGTTTGGATTGAAGTTATACAGAACTCTAAACAGAAAGATCTCTGACTATTAGGAAAGCTTAATGATTTTTAACAGACTTGGGGTCAAGAAATTTCACTTCCGTCCGCACTAAATAACATATAGAGCATCCGGCTATCGTTAACAGAAAACACTTGCAGTTTTTATAAAAATTAGAAATCATGTTATTCATAGCTTTTCTTTTCTTTTATTTACCTTTAAGTTCCTGAACTTAAAGCAAACTTTATCTATTTTGAGTTAATTATGTAACTAATATTGTTGATTGTTAGTGTGAAAATGTTCATGTACTTACGCGTCAGTAGTCGCTTATTCCCCCGCCACCAGCCGACCTGTGGTTGCGGTCGTGTATTCTGTACGACACACGACACTTTTAGTGATTGTCGCTCCTGCATGGGTCCAATGACGGAGCCATTCTCGATGCGATCGCCCTTCTCATCCAGAATCACAACCTCCTTTGGTGGCACTGCTCAGTCAACAACAATAACCAAATAGTCGTATGCGCAAATTACGCCAATCGCCACGTTGTCGGATGTACATATGTATGCGTGTGTGTGGGTGGGTGTGTAATGATGCGTTCGTCGTTTGAGTGTTGTATAGATGTTACACAAGTGTAACGGTTATCAGGTTGTGTGTGTTGTAGGTGGCAATAGGACAGATACATTTAGGTGAATGTTGTGTTGTAGTGTTTGTCGTTGCGTTGATAATACAGCAAGTGTTTTAGGGATTGGTATTTGCGGTAGTTGTTGTTGTTGTAGTAGTTGATTTATTGTGTTGATACATTCAAGAAGAATTCGTGAGTTTGTAGAGGCAAAATTAATAATTGAGTAAATCTTACGGAACTTCATTTATAAACTATAAAAAGTAATATTTCTTTGAAAAAGAAAAACTGATTCTCTAAATAACACAAATTTTTTAGATTATTTCTTTTTAATAAATTTTTAAACAAAATATATTTTGAACTAAAATTCCAATCATTTGAAATTAGATTGAAACGATTTTCCACTCAAACCTAAGGGGAAAGTTAAAAACAGAAGGAGAATAAAACGAGATTGCAAGTGCCAAATGAAATGAAAATGAAACGAAACAATAACAACTAAAGCTAAAACTAGTTTATTCCATTTGAACTATATAAAAAATTGTGAGTTTTATAAAAATTGTTTTGTTTAGTAATTTACCAATATTTTCTACGTTTTTGTTTTTGAAAAAACGGTTAATTTGCATTTTGATTTAATTTTTCGTGTGAGTTTTTAGCAGTAACATAATAAAATGTAACGAAAGATCACAAAGTAAACGAATTTAAAGTTATGTTGTATGCACACATTTCAATTTGACATTCATTGATTCAATCCGATTTAATTGGGTTTGGCGGGTGTTAAAGGCGAGTTTTTTTGTATTTTTGTTTTTTTGATTATTTGGTATTCATACAGGCATATATTTATATTTAATTTATTTTGCATATATGTAAAACATTGCATTTGCATTTGGCATATACAAATCCATGATGATGATGTTGACGAGCGTTTTTGATTTAGTTTTGTAGTAGTAGTAGTATTACGAGTACGAGTAGTAGTAGAAGAGAGCGGTGGGAATGGGGTTTATCAAAAGTACAATCAGTTAAAAAAATCGCATGATATTTTATTTTTGTTCAATGAATTATGAAATCCAAAATGAAAAAAAAAAAATAAATAAAATATTATTTACAAAATAAAATTGCATTCAAAATTTTATGAATTATAAATTTTAAGCGCATGAAAAGCGGACAGTGATTTAGTAAGTGATGTAACACAATATCGGAAAAGAAAGAGCATTCACTGTTTTTATTGAGCAATGAAATTTGTAGTAAAATATTAAAACTTTATGCAACGCTGAGATGACATTCACATTTGATAATTTTTTGTGTTGCGAACATTATTGGAGACTATAAAAAAGCGTAAAACAATTTTAATAGTGTTAGTAGTAATTTTAATTGAGTTAGTAGGTAATAAATGAGCGCAGAATGAAATAAGTGAATGAAGGAACGAATTTTTAGTGTACCTCTTGCGAGCGAAAAAACGCACTCGGTTTGAATATTTTTCATCAATTTATATTTTTATTCGGAAAGTTTCTTGAGAGTTAGAACAAATACGGTCATAGAGTTTATAATTTCAGCCATAGAAACGGGTTTTACAATGTTACATGCTAAGTTTACGATTTTTTTTGCCCAAAGTGTGAAAATGTAAAACATTTGGTTTTGAGAGGCGAATTACCTGTATTTTTAAAATAAATTGTCATAAGTGCCTCTTTATTAAGTAAGTGATTAAATGAAGATCGGAAATCAGAAACAGCATTTGCTGACCGAATTCAACAAAACTAGCTTAAATCATCAGTCTTACGAGCTATTATGAAAACTGGTTTGTAAACGCATGAAAAGTTTCCATTATGAGATATAAGTTGCTTTCGTTTAAATGATTTAACGAAGCTACCAAACCAAATGTAAATACACCGATAGTTTGAAATGATTGTGCAATTCGCTACTCTTTAAAGCTTGGCAGCTTGTTCTTCTATGTTTGAGGCTTACATTTATCAAACCGTTTTGACAATTATTAAACAATATGTAAATCTTACATTCGAACGTACTTATGTTTTAGAGATTAGGGTTCTCTTTATTAATGTGCAAATGACTTAAAAATACTAAAAACCGAAAATTGTTTCATATCGCATGTGTGTTAGTGCAAATAGGGTATAACAAAAATTGGTATTCCTACAAGTAATGACAACTCTATGCAAAAAACAACAACACATACAGCAGTTAGCATGCAAAGCGCAAAATACAAATGTTTAATATTTTCGGTGGACATAGCAATATTTTTTTATTCATTTATTTGACAGCAAACTTAAAGAGGTAAAAGCCAAAAAAACAAAAAATAATAAGTGGCAAGTAAAAATATATTAAATAAAGCACAAAGTAGATTACACAAGAAGATAATCATGCAATTTCGCAACTTAATCAAAAAGAAAAAAAATTTGACATGCAAAATGCAATTAATGCAACAAATTACGCTTTTTCAGGAAATAAATTTATACGGCAAATAAGTAGTTAAAGTATAAACCATACAAATTGCGAAAAAAATTTAGAAAAGTGGAAATTATTTAACTTACCTAAGACATTCAACTCGACACGATAGCCGTTGAAATTATCACACGTTTCGATTGGTATAAGAAATGTTGTATCACAAAGATAGATATCCTCATCAGATATTTTTAAGTCCTTTATTACTAATCTAAATGGATTTTGCTCCACTGTGACTCTGCAAATAATATTAAGAAATGTTTAAAAAATTCATAAAATAAATTAAGTAATACAGTATAGTTTCGAAAGGGTAAATTGGTGTTTCGTTATTAATGTACCGTCCACAAATATATATTTAGTCAGGGCGATTTTTGAAAACTGTAAATTTATTATTAAAGTAGGCATGAATTCTACTCTATAAGAGTTTTAGGTACAAGAGTAATGCACCCAAAAGTATGTCAGCTTTTTTATAGTAATTATAGATCACTTTAACGGGGGCGATCAAGTCTACACTTAATACTCATGGTTTGCTGAAAATCCCTTAATATTTACATAGAAGTTTTTCGAGAATTTTCGCTTTTTACTATCATATTGTATATTCTATGTATGAACAACTGATAAAAACTAGTGTAATAAAATAATAAACTATTGAATAATATTAAGTGTTGTGTGGCTTCCATCACTTTATAGCACATATTCAAGGATGGTTCAACTTTGTTTTCATATAAAGTGCAATGAACAGAAGTATTGTGGAAACGAGTCCAGACTTTTATTGAAGCAATATTGTCTAAAAATTACTTGATTGGCTTACGCTGAAGCTAACTGAGCACCCACACATTCGGATGCTTTTACTGCAGGCTCTTTAGTGTGGCTATTTGGAGAGAAAGTCCTTGGAACCCTTCTGAGAACAAGGCAAACATATGTATCAAATGTAATACTTTTCTTTCGGATTGATCGCAGATGTTGCGAATAAAATATAGAGAACTAGCCCTGTTCATATTAAACAAAATTAAGAATATGCTTTTAGATTGTAAAAAAATTCTCTGTTTTACGACTTTTAAAATTTCACAAAAGATAAAAGATATTATTTTTGTGCCCCTCTTAAAATTATTTCGTTACAAGTAGTGTTTAAAACCAAATTTACACTCTTTTAGAATAACTAACAGATAATAGTGGCATGAACACACTTTCGAGTTCCTAGCCATATTAGAGCCCAGCTTCCAATAATTGTTTACAAAACTTTTCTTATAACTATTGATTTTAGCCGACGCATTAATTTATGCTAAACGAAAAAAACGGGAAACCTCTTAAGTTTTTTTGTAAGATAATTTTATATTATTATATATTTTCTAATATAATTTCACATTACCTGTTCGCATACTCGTCTGATACGCTCGTCACATTGCTGTCGCCTAATAGCATCGCCCCAATGCGATCGTCGCCCTTAAACCAGTTTATCGAGTGCAGATCACCGCATTTGGCTTTGTTGACCGGACAGGGTATCACCACCGATTTGCCTTCGTGTTCGCTCAGTGTTTCATCTGCAATTGTTTAAAATTTTTTTTAGATGGTATTATAATTGGTAACGGTTGAGGATGGAAATCGCATAAATTTGCTTAGAACTCTAAAATTTAACTTTAATATGTTATTAGAAAAGTGACTTCTTTACGAACTGATTTGTATCGTTTATCTAGCCGTTTTAGATATTAAACAACAACAAGACAAAATTTACCTCTGGGCTTTTATAAATATGCTAAATCATTTGATGAAGTTATTTAGAGATTCAAATTTAGAAATAAATATGTGAGCTACAAGCCTTTAGCACACGAATGAATGAAATTCCGCTTACTAAAACACGAAAAAGAAATAAATAAATCTAAGCGAAAAACTAACATTTAAGGTCCTTATGTGGGCACACCTACACAATCGAAAAGAGATGATAATAAAAGGGAAAATATGTGGCAAATCAAACATATCCTTGTCACGCTTAACTGACTACGGTCACATAGGAAATAAAGTTGTTTTCTCCCCGACTCAAAAGGACCAAAGTTTTACATATTTTTCTGGTTTGCACTCTTTTTCCTTTCGTATGAGTAGCGGTTATCAGAGGTTGCGTCTCCCGCATGACACAGATAAGCTGCGAATAATTTACTTTTGAATATATGCATGTATGAAATTCATACAACTCAAATGGCCAGATAAAGCTGGTAGCGCGGACTGACATCGGTGAGGATGTATGTATGTGATATACGAAGGAAGCAGAATTGTACGGAAGTTTGGAAACTTTTTTTTGTTATTGTTGCCAGCATCAGCTGCTGCTGGCGAACAACTGTCGCTAATGTTATTTTATTTTCTTTTGATTCGTTTGTGTATTTTTTTCCGTTTCCTACGTCTTTTGTATCAATGTGTCCCGTTGAATGAAGTGATTGCGTAAAATGCCGTTAGTCATAAATTCAAAAGAGCATCTCAGGCCAATACATGTACACACACAGTTGACTAAGTGTTAAGATCTATATACTTTTGCAGGGATAATCTATGTAGTTGTGTTGCAAACCAATATTTTGTCAGGTTTGTAAGATTATTTAAAGTTCACTAAATTGGATAAAATTTCCAAAACCTTAAATCACACTTACATGGGTATAAAGTTAGTAAATTCCGCTTAATTCGATTGCAATTTCGGGACTAATATTTCCCTATAATAATTTATCATAAAACAATACCTCCTTTAAAAGAAAGTACGCAAAATTTTGAGTTTTCTAATAAAAAATATTTATTAATTAATTTATATTCCAAGAAATCTTGCTTAACATAAATATACATTTTTTCGATAGATATAGAATCGTCGCAATTAAAAATTATTATTTATAATTTTTCCTTTCATATTTTGTGCCTTAGTAACATTCAATTTTTAGCCCTATCATGTAAGATTACAATAGCATCATGCTACTGATTTCATTGTTCTAGAAATCTTTAGTAAAATTAAATTATTTTGCATGTTCGTCGCTACGACAATTTTTTATTTATCTTATTGAATTTTATCCATTACTCTAAAACGAATAGTACTGTGTGTTCAGCTAATCTCAAGCAACTCGCCTGACTTCGTCATTTCTATATACTAAAGCCACAACCAAGAATAATGTAAAAAATTATAGTTTCCTTGACTGTGGATAAAAGGATCTAAGCTCAAAAGGAATCGGTTTAGCAAGCCCTGATTTGTAGCGATCCGTTAGTTCTTTCGTGTATGATGGAGTCGATACATCTTAACGTCCTTATTGCTTGACTCAGCAGATTCTTATGAGAGCTCTCCAATTGAAACTGGAGCATATTGAATAACATCTGGAGCGATGTTATGACTGACGAAGGGAGATAATACCAGGAATAATTTGAGGTTAATTCCTTTGCAGGATCTAGCGCAAATCTAGTGCATTTAGTATTTATGAAACTGATTCCTTTTGAAATTGAATTCGAACAATCCTGCCAACGAAGTCCCCAAAACACATCAATCTACATTACATACATACATCAACTCTATTATTGCGATTTATATTTTAACGAGCTGAAAATCATACAAGTAGGTCAATAATTGTACTTTTGTGCTCCTTACAATGACTTTTGCATATTCTATTTTCAATGCCAATTAAGCTTTGTATTTCGTCTTAAGTTATTTTAATTGGATTTTTTATTTTGTAGACAAATGCTCATATAAACTTAAAATTTACTCGCAATAGTGTTGTGCTCTAAATTTCAGATGTACCGTGTAATGTATACACGTGAACAAGTTTTTAAGATATTGATATGAAATGTTGTACATGTAATGTTTTGCTCAAGAAGCAACCAATTTTTCGGAATAGCCGTTTTTGGACCACTATAGCTGACCGATCAAAATCAACTCCTCTTTATTTGAGGAAATATATTCACGAGACTTCGCTTGGATTGTTATTCAAAATAACGAAACAATCACCAAAACATTGTGCAAGTTGAAAGAATATAGCATATAGATGACACAAAGGCTAGCCGGTACAAGTCGAGTTCTTGTTAATTGGTGGAGGGCATTATCCGATGTAACAAAAATTTTTGTTTTTCTTGTATTCGAAAAGTAAATCAAGACATATGCAATGTCAATATACATATTTATTTATCTGTCTATATACCTATGTAATATGTATGTATGTCGGATAAATATGCTTGTAATCGTCTAGTAGTTTCGTAATGATGCCATTGCAGTCAATAGAAAATATTTTTCAACCAAAATTCTGTTCATTCAATCAAAAAGCAACAATATATGCATTATACATATACATCCAACTAAATACGGAAGAGCGATCTAATATTTCACATGCGCAATGACATTTTTTTCATTTTCCAAATTTACGAAGCGCACCACACACATATCCATCAGTTGCCATAGCAAGGATCCAGCGGAGATAAAATCAAAATAAAATAATAGCAATCATGTCTAAGTTGAATGGTCCGTTGTAAAAATTGAAAAATATTGTGTGCAAAGACGCACAACGCATTACACTTGCCAAATAAGATGAAGACGGAGCAGAAGACCGGCATGTAAGTGAGATTTGAGTTGGCAACAACAAAGAGCGAACCACAAGATAATCTAATATGGTTCTTGAAGTAAGCAGCAGTTAAGAATCAACGTCGAGACAACCACTTCAAACGCTAACACACACTCACTTGCACACACACAAACCAAATATATATATCCCGCATTGCTAGTAAATAAATGAATGAATGGACAGTTGGAAGCCCAGACGTTTGCTTCTATAGCTCCAAACGATTATAAATATTGCAACTGCGCCCAGCCAACGCCCGACCAGCGATGGCCTACGTTTGCTCAAACTGAGTGATTTCGGTTAAGTGAATGGACAGTTTTATGGTGAACAACTCTCTTATATGGTTAAGAGTATACAGTTATGGCTGAAGATGTGGCTTGAAGATACTAATACTTACTGGCTGTCTTTTCAAACTGCACACATACTTAGACATATCCATATAGAACAAATAAACACAAGTTTCATATTCTAAATCACACTTGCTTAGCTGAAATAGTTTTGATAAGTTTTATTATAGCATTTTACTAAATAAATGGATAGAGCTTTTATATATTTTGCTCATTAGTGATTATTTACAGAGAAGCAAAACACACACGACCCTATATGAAATATAACGAAATATCATTTAAAGTTCAGGTATTATTAAAGCAACATCCTAAATATAGACTCTTATAAGGAAAGAATTGCATAAACAAAAATGAAAGCTTCTGTTGTCATATTTAATCTTTGTCATATAAATTGTATGTTATGGGAGTAATGAAACCATTCAAGCGATAAATCAAATAAATATTCACTAAATAAGTTATAGTTTTTTAAGGGAAATTCTTATAAGGTGAAAGCTCTATGACATTGAAATCAAAACAGATACACCAGTTGACATTTAAAATTCCGACACTGCCGCTCTGTAGCTCTTAATTATTACCAACGAACGTATTAGTTTGTATTTCATACTCTATAGTGGTTCTTATAGTGAAATTCTTAGCTTTGCCGACTAGATGTCCACCAAGTCTCGCATCAATTGTTTATATTATGCCACTAAATAAAAATATAAGCGACGTGTTACATCTGTCATCCTAGTTTGACCAGAACTGCTATAATATTGAGCTTTGTGTTTGGAGACAAGTTTTTCAATGAAAGTTTCCACCAAATATTTTCGAAGTCGGCGTAATAAATTTGCAGTTCTTCCAGCTACATGCACTAGCGTCAATCCGAGATGAAGTTTTGTTAGGATTTCCATGAAAAAATCTTTTGGTTCAATATATAGATTTTTTGAAGCTTACCACCACGATTTCGATTGCGTTTTATATTAGCCACTCGCGAATAAGCAAACTGCTTCAGCAGTCAAAGCAAAAATAAAACTATGTTTACTAAAAAGGCGGCTAGAAAGCTTTTCTACTTTAGCGACCGGAAACGGAAATAGAATTATAAAAGCCAAAGCTCGTCAGCTAACCAATTGGACAGAGATTGAAACTAAAAATCCACAAAGCCAAATAAAAAACAAAAAAATACGCGAGCACACTTATACAACTCTACAAAAGGGCAAACCACAAATGAAAATGTAGGAAATGGCAAAGATAAGAAAATATTTGTAAATGGCTTAAATACCACAGAAACCTCCGCACCCAGACACACACATTTGTAATATAGCTGAGACGAAAGGCAAGTGGCTCTGAAGTGGCTGCGAGATACTAGTGGTGAGCAGAGCTGCTTGAATTTTGATTTCGTGCACCAAAAAGTGGGCGAAAATGTTTGTCGAAGAACTTGACTCGGCGAGACGCTGTGAGTGTTTATTTCATAAGGAAAAATTGGAAATTTATGAACAGGAAACCGCACCCACTTACCGCCACCACCAGCTGCTCTAATACATTTGATTGGATGTGTGTATGTTTATATATACTTTGGCCCCACCGAGTGACACCAATGCTTGTACGCAGGCGGTGTGCGAAAACTTTTGGCTAGCACTGCAGTTGGGCGAA